AATTTTATGGAAAGAATGTCTCTTCTGGCAGTTCAGTATGACATGTCCATGCTGTGCTGCACACTAAATTCGCTCTAAGTTGTTCTCCTTCCCCTTGGTTAAAATAATGGTTACTTCTGCAAACTGCAGCAGTTTGTGGTGCTATTGAACTGCATTACATTATACCAACAGGCGTTTCTATTGTTTTGTCCACCCCATTTATATCAACATGGGTAGGCTAAATAACAGGAATGTATCTTTGTACAATGTAGTACAGTTCAACAGCACCAAACTTCACAAAAATCTTCCAAAAGGATTAAACAGTTCGAACACCACCTGTCTTTAATAAAAGCTGAACATTATAACCTTTATTAAGGTAGGATAGATAGCTAAAACTAATACAGTCTAATCCTTAGTGTACTTAATAAACTGATAACTGAGTGCATATAATAGTTTCTTAGTTGTATGACTGCTGACTTAATCCACCAGACCATCTGTACAGTACCCACCCAGCTGTTGGAATAATGATAACACAGCACTGACAGTTTGTGCAAATTAGGGTGCTTTGCTGAAGGTTTTCTAATCATCACGTGACTGTTGGTCAATATTGCTGCATAATTGAATCAAGAGCTCGATGAAAGCACCTCTTCGGGTTTTGCGCTGTTGTTTGTTGTCGGACAAAACATTTTAAAATGTCACCATAAGCATTTTGCTTGTTGTTTGATCGATTAATTGTAGGTCTAAAGAATATCAGAAACTGAGAAAAAAAAAAATCTGTAGATTAATTGTACTTTAAATCGAAAATGCCTCTAGCATCCCCCACAACACATTTTAATGTATTGCATATTTGTCAGCAATCATATGACACCTTAGACTGACATTGGAAGGTTTGTTTTGCAATAGAAAAGAAAAATGTCCGTAGGACTCAAGTACTGTTGGTGCTTCCTTCTATAACAGCACTAGGGCTTGATCTTATATTCTCCAGGGGTATTGTGGGTTATTTGGAGCCAGGCCTGGATGAGAAAGTGAGTGAGCGAGAGAGCCTTCACTTGAAACAAAATACTGAGACCACAGAGGATGACACACTGATGGGGACAGATGTCTGCTCCAATGTCATTTGCAGATTAATGGAGTTTGGCTATAGATGTGGCAGAGACTCGAGTACGCTCACATGTGTACACGATAAGGCCAACTGCGGGCATCAAATCCCTCTTATAAGACCAGACGGGGACCAAGAACCCATCTTAAACTACTGCCAGCTGCATCAGAGTTTTGGGTTGCGTTCCCCCACAGGCTGATGAACTGTTTTTGACATTTCGAGTGTAGACAACCATGGCTTAAATGTCTCTCAGTATGGGTTAAGCTACTGCTACTATAACTCAAGCTAACTATTCCACTTCAATCTGATGATCAAGGCTACAGTCAGTCTCCAGTTTTTGTGCCACTCATGGGCAACATTTTAAAAGACTACTCCTCCCGATTTAGCATTACACTCACGTAACATTGAAAGAGACAGAGAAAATAAAAGAATATATAAATAAAACCAGCAAATCCAGAGATTTTTTTTATTCCACACACTCTTCCTTGTCAAAACGTGGCACCTAGATTACCCAAAATGCAACACTTCACACTCACTGTTGTTTTTTGTCATTTTTAAACTTGTAGTCTTCAGCCCCAACTGATACAGACTTAAGTGACATCTCTTGAGGCAATTTTACAGACTTCACACGCAGCTCCTTCTGAAGCCACCAAAGTTTTTACACAACTTTTTTTTCCACATATGCAGTCCTAGTACTCCCCAAGCCGTGAATAGACTTCGATGTGTAAAATCGGTGTAGTTCCCCTCTCTTTCAAGACCAGTCAGTCAATTTCTAAAATTATCTGGAAAAACAGATACAACAGTTCAACCTGCAGCTCTGGTCCGTGTCCAAATCACGTGGAATTCACTGAAGATAGACATCAATCTTAATGTGCAAAGTGCAAAGCCACTGTGTCATGTTAACATAAAAGTCATCTGAAAGCCAGTGAACAGCTGTGGGACCTCCGCTGTAGAGCGGACTATTGGTCAGATGGAGAAAAAAACATCTAAAAACTGCAACAGATGATGCAGCAGTCATCGCACATTATCCACGGTGAGCTCAATGGATGACAGATGGGAGGAAAAGTTCAAATTTTAAAAAGCCAGATCAAGGATTACCAGCATGATCTGCTGCAACATCAATTCACGTTTAAGGCTGCGTGATGACAAGAAGCACACGATGCTCATTTCTGATGTGTAAAAGGCTGGAAACTGGTACAGAAAATGAAGAAGGCAGAATTAAAATCTAGGTAACCATCAATGACAACCCAAATGTCTAAATTGAGGAAAAATAGCTTGTGTGAAGGCAACACTATACAGGGGATGTTAAATAGAAACCCTCCTATATAATTACTAGTTGTAGGGCCCCTGCTGAGCTAGCATGTCGACCTAAAGTGGCCACAGCAAAGGCAAATGAGGGGTCAGGTCCAGTAAAGGGTATATTTAGTCTGCCGATGGCAAGCTTTTTAAAAACAACACGCCCTTTCCCTGAGTCACATGGCTCTGGAAGATCTGAAAAACTTCCCTATAAACATACAGGCAAATGAAGTAAGCTAACTAGAGGAACAAGGACTGCTGTGTGGTGTTCCCCGTCTCAGTACCAAACGTGCCTCTGTAGCCTAACATGAAAACATAATGACCATGCGCTTTTTTTTTTTAATTAAAAAGGAGAAAATAAGTGGAAGAGTTTTACTATTGACATCTGCAATGGCAAAAATAACAATAAAGGGACTTTTGAGGATCATCTAGAAAAGAAGCTGCTTATGCATTTACATATCTTAAAATTGCTTTTTATGTCGTCATCTGGTAAGTATACAGTTTTCAGACAGCAGTTTTCTGGGGACAATGAAGGCATCACTCCTGTACAAACAGCCGTTTCCCTTTGTCTATATAGAGATAAGGTTTCAGATGCAAAATGCCAACATTCCCAATAATGCACACACTCCAGTAGTAGTAAACGGATTTTAACAATACATTTTCCTGGACGAAAACAATTCAAAACTTTCAAAACTAAGCTAAGCTGCTGTGAAGATGCACAGGTGATACTGCTCTTCAAAAAAAGGTGCCATTATAAATCCTGTTAAAAAAATTTGTTTCGTCACTTATCTTTGGATGAATACACAATATAGCCTGGGGTCACATGAAAGCCACCACGCACAGTAAAGTCATAAACCTTTCACTTGATGTAATTTCCTTGAGGCTACTGTGATGCCAGCCAGGCCTTGGGGCGTATAATGTGGGACTATTTTGGGAAGCTGCGAAAGCCCAGCTGAAGGTCTTGTGGTCCCCAGCTGAAGGCCTTGCGGTCCCAAACTGGTGAATGGTAGTCGCATTGGTGGTAGCTTTTAAAACAGTACTCTCCAAGGGCAGGTGACTTCAGCTCCCGGAGTGGAATAAATCTCTAGGCCTGTGTTTTGAATCAACTGATGTGGAAAAAAAAAAGAGAACCAAATTTGATTTCCCTTTGTTACAATTGCAAACATTTGACAGATTTTTTGGCGCACTGCTGAAAGAATACAAACAAAACAAACCATCCATCGCATTACAGTTACTAGACTTTCCCACCAGTCAGGGGACATTTGACAGGGGTTGTAAACATCACTAAAACCCTGCTATATTTTCTCCTCTCCTTTCTGGCTTTAAGAAGGACTCCTTTCTCTTCTGCTTTTCTCTCAGCGCAGTCTTCAGCAGGCACTGATTTCATGGTGGTAATTTTGGCCGGCAGAGACAAAAACCTCCTTTGGAGTGCTGTGTGAAATCTCACCCCATCACCCACAGGCTGCCACAACACTAACAGTGTGTCCTTCTGAACTTGGCATACCAGGAGATAAAACACTAATTTCACCGTTTCCTTCACAGCACAGAGAGGGGTAAACAACACAAAGCCAAGTCCAGAACTTTAAAACACTTTCATGGATTTCTCATGATCTGGCGGGCAGATTTAGGGCACACTTTCGTCATCATGGTAATGAAAATAATTGAAAGCATTTAGGAAAATTAGATTGAATTCAAGCAGCTGAATAAGCAGAATAAGTTGAAAAATATTACTCCATCATAAAAGTAAAGAAGAAAAAATGCATGGGCAGCACTTAGGAAAGTCCTGATCCCTTGGAAACAGATGTTGGCAGCAGCTGACCCTTCAGTAAGCCCCTCTTCCCTTAGTTACTGTTGCTATGAATGTCAAGCATTTTATTCTCATGGCAGATAAGCAGTTTGCAGTAACAGGGGCAAATTTAGTTAAAGTTACTTTTTTTTTAAACAATGGGTCCTTGATTTCACACAGAAACAGACAAAAGCAACTTCTCATTTTAAGTCTGGGACCTTTTATTGGCTGAAATGACAAATCCTGTAATAAGGTCAGTAGCTAGCATAAGTAGGCTAATGCTTACTTTTTCACACAGATTAAAGCATTGCACAA